GGAGCCTCATTAAGTAGTCCAAGGTGTGTCAATGAGAATGTTGAGATGGAAGGATGTGATGATGATGTAGTAAAAGGGTTGGGTGATAGTGAGGATGAACGGTCCACTGCTATTCTAGATGTTTTTGAAGGGATTGATGTAACTAAACTCATTAATGAGAGCCCTTCAGTTGGTGAGTTTATGACTGGGTCCAAACAGAAAAGTTGTGAGAATGAAGAATATGTGAGTGATGAGTGGATAGCTATGACCTGGATTTATCTGATAGTGAGAAAGGGAAAGTACCAAAGTTTGAAAAGTTTAGGAAAAAACATTTAAATAAGGATTTTAAATTTCAGTGGGGTATGCAATTCAACTCCCTAGGTGATTTTAGAAATGCCATCCGTGAGTGATCAGTATTAAATGGGAGGGAAATTACATTTATGAAAAAGGAAAGTGACAGAGTAAGGGTAGTATGCAGGGCCAATTATGGGTTTTTAATGTTGTGCTCCAAAGTGGGCCATAAGCTCACTTATGCTATAAAAACCATAATTGATAAACACACATGTGCTAGGGTTTTAGACAAAAAGTTTGCAAGTTTAAGGTGGGTGGATAAGGCTGTGTTGAACAAGATGCAAACTTTTGATAATGTCAGGATCTATGATATAATTCAAGACTTGAGGCAAAATTATTCTGTCGGAATCATGGTGGCTAGGATATAGAAGGCTAAACTCATAGCTAAGAAGATGCTTGAAGGAGATGCAGACAAACAGTATGCAAATTTAAGGAGATATGCTGCAGAATTACATAGAATGAATCATGGGAAAACTTTGAGTATCACTATAGAAATACCAAGTCCATTTATTCAGCCAAGGTTTTGTTCCTTTTATTTTTACTTTGATGGTTGTAAAAAGGGTTTCATTAATGGTTGTAGACCCTTTGTTGGAGTTGATGGTTGTCATCTAAAAACAAAGTATGAGGGTCAGTTGTTAATTGTTGTGGATAGGGACCCAAATGATTAGTATTTTCCTTTGGCCTTTGGGGTGGTTGAGACAGAAACCAAAGAAAGTTGGAGGTGGTTTCTTGAGTTGCTGATGAAAGATGTAGGCCAGGACAAGAGATTCGTGTTTATATGTGATCAACAAAAGGTATGTCTTGTTGGCATTAAGTTAAATGTTATGCATATGTTACTTTGCATTGATATTATGTAATGTTTTAGGGTTTGGTAGTTGTGTTTGAGGATATATTTGAAAGGATTGAGCATAAGATGTATTTAAGGCATCTTTATGCAAATTTCAAGAAAAGGTTTGGAGGTGGAGCTTTAATTAGAGATCTAATGGTGGGGGATGCAAAGTCTACATACTATCAGGGATGGTTATAAGAGATGAATGAGTTGAAGTTGGCATATCATAATGCTTGGACTTGGTTAATGGATGTTCTTCCAAAGGTTTGTTGTAAGCATGCTTTCAGTTTCTACCCTAAGTGTGATGTTCTTATGAACAGTATTTCTGAGTCTTTCAATTCCACCATATTAAGTGTTAGGGATAAACCAATTTTAACAATGTGTGATTGGATTAGGAAGTATTTAATGAACAGATGCTCTACTTCTGCAATGAAGCTTAAAAAATAGCCTCATAAGGTTATGCTAATTCCTAGAAAAAGACTTGATAATGAGGTTATGTTTAGTGGTCAATGGCTGCCTACTTGGGCAATGGATGAAAATTTCCAAGTCACTCATTCATATAACAGTCAGGAATTTATAGTTGACATTTCTAAGAGATCATGTACTTGTAATTTATGGGATTTAGTTGGTATTCCTTGTAGACATGTTGTTGTTGCTTTAGGTTTTAGGAAACAGAATCCAGAGAATTTTGTTGATCATTGTTATTATAGAGACAAGTATGCAATCTGCTATAGTTTTTCTGTGAGTCCAATTAATGGTGAGGAAATGTGGCCACAAGTTCAGTCAGAGAAGATTTTACCCATTATGTACAAGAAAGGTTCAGGCAGACCAAGAAATTTAAAGATAAGGGAGTCTGGTGAAGAGGGTGCTAGAAGAAGGAGATTGCCAGGTGTTTCTTACAGATGCACTAAGTGTGACAAATTTGGTCACAATGCTCAAACATGTAAAAGCACAACACAAGATCCTAATAGACTAAAGAGAAATGTATGATAAGTGTGTATTTTGAACTGGAATATCATGTATTTTGAACTAACAAGTAATGTGTTTTATTTTTGTAGAGGAAGGTCAAGGTAGGTACAACCATACAACCTGATGATGTTCAACAAACCGGTGAAACTGATGAAACTGAGGCACCAATACAAACTGGTGCAATTGAGGCACTAATACAAACTGGTGAAACTCAAACTGCAACAACTAAACCAGTTGACTATTTTGGAGACATAACTGATGATTTCATTTCAAGCATTCCTAAGATCAACACAACACAATGTTCTGCTGTGGTTGGTAAACCAGACAAAAAAGGAAAGACAAAAGTGAAAGATGCCAAGCCAGTGATAAAGAGGTCCAGTGAAAGAATAAAACTCAAGTGGTTTCAAAAATCAATCACAGGGCCAGGTTCAAACCCCGTGCAACCTATACATTTGACAGAAGTAGAAGTGGTTCTAAACGTGCAATGAAGAAATCTAAGAAGTAGTCTTATGTCTGTATTGCTTATTTTTTCTATTAGATACTTTAATCATGACACCTATGTTTTGTTATGGATTGTATCCTTAAGTTAAGACTTCTGTATTTTTTAAGCTGTTATGCCCTTTTGTAATGACTTTGGCATTTTATTCTACTTATGCCTTAATGTAATGACTCCTTTAGTATTGGTTTCAACTGATAAGGTTATTTAATAATTTCAGCTGGTAATACAATACTGTAAGAAAAATGAAACACTCTTATTGAATCAAAGTTGACATTAAACAAATATCATATTGCATTGATGTAACTTACACCTCAAATTACAAATACTTATACAACACTGCAAAGATATTACAAATACACATTACACTTCACTTCTGCAAAAATATTACAAATACACATTACACTTCAAATTACAAATAGTTGTACAACACTGCAAATTATAAACCAAGACATCAAAATTGCCATATTCAGTTGGAATATTTTTCTCTTCAATGAAACTATCTTCAACTTGGATTTTTTCAGTTTTCTTTCTGTCAGTTCAAACTTCACTATTGCCACATCAGTGTTTGCAATAACTTTCAAAATTTGAGATTTCACTAATGGAGTGAGCAATTTCATCATCCCAAATAAACAGATCACAACTATTGTCCATCTGCAAACAAAAACAACATTAACCCCATAAAAGGTTTAGGTATTTCACAAAACTCATATATTCAAGCACTTACTCCAACATTCCTACATTTCCAGAATTTTCTATTACGATTTTTTACAGTATTAGAAAACCACATCTTCATCGGACGACAACATCCGCATCTAGGAACCTTTGAATGCTTGTACGAATTTCAACTTCCAACACTCTTGCTAGCATCCTCCATTTGAACATAGGGACAGAATCGGGGAACAAATTGGGGGAAGAAGCGACAACATAAATGGTTTAAGACGGTAGAGAGAGAAGAAATGAGTAAGACGGTAGGGACATAAGAGATTGAGGAAATAATTTGCAGTGGAAAGGGATAGAAGACGGTAGCCCTAGATATAACCAGTCCAAGGTGGCATACAATTACCCAATCAACAAATAGATCCTGGCCACGTCTGCATCTCAAATAGAATCTTGGGCTAAAAGGTTTTTGATTATGGAATCTATGTTTGTAAGGGACGAAAATAATTTTTTTTTTTAAAAAGGTAAATCAAATCTCGCTACTATTGCAAGGGATAGAAGACATTTATTCCAAAAATTAATAATGGAATGTTTCTTAGATTGACCCATAAATAAGCCAAACAAAGTTTCCTTTATTATGATATATTGATTGATACCCCTGCAATTTAATGTCTTGTTTTAAATTATAATGATTTTTAAAAAGAAAAAAATACATTGACAATTTTACACGGTTAATTAATGAGAAATATGCATCACAATAAATCTTATTTTAATTTTTAAAATATTAAAATGATATGATAAATATAAGAATTTTGATTGATTGTATGTGAAAAATTATTTTACGGTTATATTGTGTTATTTTAAACTCATATTTTAAATGTACATTAAAATATAAATTTATAATCAAATATTGTTTGGGAATAAAATTTGAAAACAAGGAAATTAAAGAGACTTACAAATACAACAAAAAAAAAAGTGTTACCATTGTGAAATAATAAACTTGTATGGACGCATATTGGTAGGGCGAGATCTTGGGCTTTCACTTGTGCAAGAAACTGCTATATTTATCATCAAACTCACATCCTCTTTAATATTGTTTCTAGGATATGGGAGACGCTGGTCCAACTTCTCCATCCATGGCAAAGTATCAAGTGTCAGGTCCATAATACTTTCTGAAGATTGTTGCCACAAACAAGTTACAATATCTCTCGGATGCTTCTCAACAAGTATTTCCAAAGTTAATATTCCAAAACTATACACAACACATTTCTCATTTACTTCCATTGTGTATGCTAGTTCTGCTAAGTTTAAAAGAGAGTTATTGCGTGAAAAATTGGATTACAAAGAGAAAGCGTGAAATGATAAACTAAAAAAAAAAGATTTAAAATAGATTGACGTAAAGAAAGATAAATGACCTGGAGCTGCATAGCCTAAGGTGCCTGCAAAAGAAGTCATGTTGGATGAATTGGGATTTAGAAACTTAGATCTCCCAAAGTTCGAAACATGAGCAACATATTCCTAATAACATTCTTGTTGTATCCTTCGTCCATCGCGATAAAATCAAAGCGGTGGGAATGTGATTAACATGTTCTTCCTTCATGACATAAACATATGAGAACATGGAATTCCACGAGAATCCCATAACTTACACTCATATTGAAGTGTGTCAACAATCATACACAACCTCTCTGTCATAGTTGTCACGACAATATTTTTTTAAGTCTTAAATCCATTGCGAACAAACTTTCCCTTAACAATCAATGATTCAGCCTTCGTTATTTCATCTTTGACTTCTTTGAAAATCTCCGCAGTATAAATTTTCACGGCATGACTCTCAATTAAACTGAGGTGAGTGGTCATCACAGGTTTTGTAAACTTTGATTTAAAATCGACAACCAGTTCATTGTTTCTATAAGATCTCAAAGCCTGCTCAAAATTGTGCATAAATTCAAAAATGCAGCCTTTCTTTCTGACATAACTCTTGATGATTGCATTGACGACTTCGCATTGAGACGTTATTCTTATACGTCCAAAAAACTTCTCACGTAGATATGCAGTTGCCCATTGTGACTTGTTCTCGTACATTTTTTCAACCCAAGGATTTCCTTCAAGTTTGTTTTCTTTAATTAGCTCTGACCAAAACTCTTTAATTGATCCTTTGTAAAATTACAGTACATAGCTTTTTGAAAATCTTGCAAAAATATGAGTTCTTTACATTCTCACCTGAATTCTTATTCAAATGTCAAGCGCATAAACAATATGTCGCATCTAGAAACACCTGTTTTATAGCTTCCATCATCGCCCCATCTCCGTCTATTACAACTGCTTCTGGGTATTTATCTTCCATGCACTCTAAAAAACACTCCAACAACCACTTATACGTCTATGTCGTTTCATCTGACACCAACGCAACACCAAAAATAACTGTCTGAGAATGGTGGTTACACCTTGAAAATATAATCAATGGATAGTTGTATTTGTTATTCTTGTAAGTCGTGTCAAACGGAACCACCTCGCCAAAACAAAAAAAAAGTCAGATCTACTGCTCCCATCAGCCTAAAAAAGAGACTTCATTCGTCCATCACTGCTGACGGCATATTTAGCATATAACATGAGTTCAGTAGATGACTTCATATGTAGATAATTTAAAGCAGCGACAAATTCACCATCTTTAATAGTAGCACGCGTTTTTCTATCAAATAATTGTACAGATCCTTCTTTGTAAATCCAACACGATCGTATCCACCCTTCTGGACAACCATGCACCCCATTATATGACAAGTTCTAATTCCATGTGACTGAAGACTGTCAATCTGAGCTCTACCTGCTTCAGTAATTTCTATAGTAAACCTGAATTAACACATTTGCTAACACACCAAAACCCAACATAAGTCACGGTGCCTAATTTCCTATTCAAATCAAGCATAGAACTTAGTTCTTAAAATTTAAATCAAATTTAACACCAAATATGAATTATCACAATTTTTAATACAACAAAACTCAACATCATTCTCAATTTATTATTTCTTAATTAAATCAAGGGACTTGATTCAAAGGTAACCACCAAATTTGAAAATTTGTAATCATCAATTATTAAATCCATGTAAATAAAACAAATTCAAGCATAAACTCTAATTTCCAATTTGAAATCGAACTTAACACTTTCATTTATTCTTTATTTGAAATCAATTAATCTTAATCATTAATTTCAAACAAATATAACAAACATTTTCGAATTTACCTTAGCAACCGCGTGCTCAATACGAACACAATCAGATTTTTAGTCGTGTTATGTTTGGTGAGCGATTGAATGGGTCAACCTCAAAGAAATAGGGACGAACACGATGAATGTTATGCTGATGTTCGTCTGCAGTGTTGGCAAACGATGAATGGCGGACGGACACGATGAATGACGGACGAACATGATGAATAATTTCAGGTTGTTCAAAAATGGGGGACGAAAACAAAATTAAGATTTCAGGTTAGATAGTGAAGATGAATATGATGTTGACGTAGTGAGGAAGATTAAATTAAAGTTGTTCTAATTAATATTATTTTAATTGATTTTGTCTATTAACATTAAAATTTAAAAACAATATTAATATGTTAGAGACTTAATTGCAATATTCATAACTATAAAATTACCACATTAAATGGCATAAATGATACAGTCTTATGTGACATTTTAAGACTTAAGACATAATTCTGATTGATAAGAATGTGACTTATCAAAGAAGTAATTTTAATGACTTAGTATAGAATTTTCCATGTAGTTTTACACGACCATATTTAGGAGAAAAAAAAGTCTTACAATTGTAAAGTATATTTAGGCTATATATCAAACAGTATATATGAAAATAACCCTTTGAAGATGGTTTTTACATTACAAGCTTTTTGCAGACCTGCTCCATGGTAGGGCGAGATCTTGGACTTTCGGTTAAACATGAAATTGCTATCCTTATCATCAAACTCACGTCCTTTTGAGCATTGTTTCTGGGATATGGGAGACGCTGGTCCAACTTCTCCATCCATGGAAAAGTATCAAGTGTGAGGTCCATAACACTTTCTGAAGATTGTTGCCACAAACAAGTTACAATATCTCCCGGATGCTTCCCAAAAAGTATCTCTAAAGTTAATATTCCAAAACTATACACATCACATTTTTCATTTACTTCCATTGTGTATGCTAGTTCTGTTGGAATTGAAAAAAGAGTTATTATGTGAAAATTTGGATTACAAAAACAAAACATGAAATGATAAACTATAAAAAAAGATTTAAAATAGATTAATGTAAAGAAAGGTAAATGACCTGGAGCTGCATATCCAAACGTTCCTGCAAAAGAAGTCATATTGGATGAATTGGGATTTAGAAACTTAGATGTTCCGAAGTCCGAAACATGAGCGACATATTCCAAATTCAAAATAACATTCTTGCTGGATATATCACGATGAACAATGGGAGGTGTGCAATCATGATGCATATAAGATAAAGCATTTGCAACATCTTTAATGACATTCACCCTCCTCTTCCAATCAAATTCACCAGATGTTTCATTCTCCTTCAAAATGTTGTCCATGCTACCCTTTTCCAAGAATTCATAAACCAAAAATGAGTGTAGTGAATGTGAACAAAACCCATATAACTTCACAATGTTCCGATGTCGAATCTCTGTCAAAGCACGAATCTCACTCTCAAAAGCTTTCAGATTGGACATTTCTTCATTTTGTAATGAATGGATTTTTTTCACAGCAACAACTTGACCTGTGGGCAATTCAGCTCTGTAAACACTTCCATGCCCTCCAACTCCAATGAGATGCTTGTTGTCAAACTCTTCTGTGGCTTCAATAATATTCTCATACACCATTTTCCCATCAAAACTCCATATAGAAAAAAGATTTACATTGTCTGATTCTTCAGGAGCCTTTAAATCTTTTTTTCTTGAAATTTGATATAGATGATATGAGATCCAAAAAACAAACAATGCTAACAATAATGTGCCTAGAGTGAGGGGTAAAACAAGCACCAAGACTTTGTTATTCTTATGACTATGATAGTTTCCACCTGATGTTGAGCAAGGCTTAAGGCCAGAGACATTACCACACAAGCCTTTGTTATTTCTGAGTTGGTTAAATGAGGCATTTTGGAAGGCTGGAATGTTTGGAACTGGACCCTCCAATTGATTGTATGATATATCAACATTTGTCAAGCTTAACATGTCACCATAGCTCAAGGGAATGGTACCAGAAAGATTATTGTGTGAGAGATTCAATGTTTCTAAATAATTTAATTGTCCCAACATCGATGGTATGGTTCCATTTAAAAAATTCTTGCTTAGATCAAGTTGTTCAATAACTTTCAATTGGCCAAAATCATCAGGAATGTTTCCTTCAAACTTATTGTGACTCAAATTCAACTGCAATAATGCTGACAACCTTCCAAGTTTTTCAGGGATGAAGCCACTTAAATTATTTGTTGCAAGCTCCAAGGAAGTTAGTTCACGCAATGATGCAATTTCTACAGGAACTTCTCCCGAAAGATGATTGTTACTTATCGAGAGTTTGTACAAAAAAGATAAGTTCCCTAGCTCCTTTGGAATTTTTCCAGTAAGTTGGTTTGAAGACAAGTTAAGTTCACCTAAATTAACTGCATCACCCAATTCTGGTGGTATGGTTCCTGTTAAATTGTTATTGGAGATTTTAAGGCTTGTGAGATTCTTGCACTTTCCCCAATTTGATGATAGATGTCCATAAAAATTATTATTACTTAATTCCATGTAGACCAAATTCGGATACACACCAAACCCATTTGTTATATTATCAGTTAATCTGTTTTGATCAAGTCTAACTCTTTGAAGGCTAAAGCAATTTCTTAAACTATATGGAATTAGGCCCGTAAATTGGTTATTATTAATACTAAAATAAATCAACTTCCCACCAACACAAATGTTGTGAGGTAAATCACCTATGAAATTATTGTAAGCTAACTGGAGTGATTCCAAATCTGTAAGTCTATTCATTTCAGTTGGAATATTTCCAGTGAGAGCATTTGATAAAAGAGATAATGTAGTTAGTTTTGTTAAATTTCCGATGGTGGAAGGAATCCGTCCAGACAATTTATTTTGTGAAAGATGAAGAAAATCTAAATTGACTATGTTACCTATGGAAGGTGGGATTTGTCCGGTGAGAGCATTTAAGGAAAAAGATATTGCACTTAGTTTTGTTAAATTTCCAATAGTGGAAGGAATTGGTCCAGAGAGTTCATTGTCATGAAGCAAAACGGAATACAGATTGGCCAAGTTACTTATAGAAGATGGAATTTGTCCCATGAAATCATTTGAGAATAGATATAAAACATTTACTCTCGTTAAATTTCTGATAGTGGAAGGAATTGATCCAGAGAATTTATTCTGTGAAAGGTCAATAATATTCAAATTGACTAAGTTATCTATAGAATGTGGAATTTTTCCACTAAGAGCATTTGAGAAAAGAGTTAGTTTACTTAATTTCGTTAAATTTCCAATAGTTAAAGGAATGTGACCAAAAAGTTGGTTGTCATATAAGTTGAGAATTGATATATTGGCCAACACTCCTATTGATAATGGTATAGTCCCTGTGAGATTACAACTATGAAGATCAAGTATTTTCAGATTTCTCAGTCTACCTATCTCATATGGAATAATCCCTGTGAGATAATGATTCTCACTAAGATCAAGAAAGGAGAGTCTAGAGAGATTACCAACAGTGTTGGGAATACTACCATGGAAATTGTTTTGTGAAAAATCAAGAGTGTCTAGGTTGGACATTACCCGAATAAGGTGTGGAACAACACCATAGAACAAGTTGTTTTTTAAAACTAAACTATGGAGTTTTTGAAGTGATGAGAAATTGAGAGTGTGAAGCGTACCTTTTAGTCCAATATTGGTGAGATTTACCTTAGAGATGGATATAGAGTCATGATGACATTCAATTCCTTCCCAACGACATGGGTTATTACCAGTCCACGAAGCGAGCAGAGTCTTGTTTTGGTTGTCAAGGCTTGCTTTCCACTTCAATAGAGCATCTGCCTCACTGCCTTCAATATGGTGTGTGCCATTTACAAACATGCAAAGGCACAAAACAAGACATGCCATTTCTAAAAGCATCATTTTCTCAACCATTTTGGAAACTATTATTATATTGCATGCCTTTTAATGCCAGATGTGGCTGATATTTATACACACGACACTTCAATCAACTATTGCTTTTTTTGTTTGTAATAGCAAAGACTGAGCTAAATTATGGTCTTCAACTTTTGTTTTTTTGTTTATATGTTTAATATTCATTTTTAAAAATTGGTTTAGGTTTCGGCTCTTATTATTTTCAATAACATTAAATTTTACAATAATAAAATAAAAGTATATAATTTTTAATTTTTATTAAAAATATTGAGGTCGACATTTATATCTAATTTATATTAAACATGGGTTGTCTTTCTGTTATTAAGAGTGATAAATTACTTGTGGTTGTATTAATGAGTTTGTACTAATAGGGTCCAGTTTGTTCGAGTTTTAAAAAAATTAATTTATTTTTTATCTTTAAAAATAGATTTTATAAAATTATTTTATAAAATATTAGAAGTTTTATTTATTTTTAAATTGAAAGACAAATTTTGATATTTTATAACATAAACATATATTATTGAAAATCAAAACATTGTTAAAATTGTAATTTTTCATAAAATTGTATTTTAAAAATAATTTTCATGAAAAATTATTTGAAATAGTTTTAAAATTAAGTGATTTTTTTTAAAATTTTGATATTCAAAAAAATTTTAATAAAATATTTAAAATTATATTTTAAAAATAATTATTCAAAACAAATTTTTATTTAAAACTTTTATGAAATATTATAAAATTTATTAACACAAAATTATTTTACACTATAAAAATCATTTTTAAAAAAAACACAAAAAAGAGACAGGTTCATAGACTCTACGATAATATTCATTTAAAAAAGAAGAGAGAGAAATTAAAGTAAAATTGAATTAGAAAAATATATTTAAGAAGAGAGAGAAAATTCTTTATTAAGACCTGAAATCAAAACATTACAACTCTTTTTTGAATTTGTTTGAGTTCTATTTAATCTACAGCAAAATGAATTATGAGAAGTTTTTCATATCGAAACAATAATAACTATGGTATCATGAGAAAGTTCATTGCATAAGCTATAATAAAATAAGGAAATATCAGATCTATGAGATCAATGTTTAAAATAGTGTTACGATTTAGTTAGTACAAATGCTATGGTTGCAGTGTGAATTAATTATAATTTTATATATATTAACATAAAAACAATTAATAACAATATCAATATATTTTATTATGACCATGTTTCCATCTCACATCTCCGTGATCACTGTGTTTTCCACTATTTTTCTATCCACAACCACAATAAACTAGTTTTTCTATTGATCATAGATTTTCGTAAGCACTAGCAACCGCCTCAAATACATCATTGGATTAGAAAGAGGTGTGGTGGAATAAGACACAAATCTTAGAGAATTTTGAATCAATCTTGTTGAATATTACAAGGTGAAGAGATATGAAAAACTGACCCATTGGGCTTTTCTATTATGAAATGCAAAAGTGTATCCGTTTACAATTTGAATATACAATTGCTTTATATAGCCAATTGGACTTAAGATAAATTTCAAAGTACTCCCTCTGGTCCTTTTTATAAGAGACACTTCACATTTTTATATTCATTGAATAATTAATGTACTTGGTCTGTAAATAGACCAGATACATTAATTATTCAATGAATCTAGAAGGGTGAAATGTCTTTTATAAAAAGGACTAGAGGGAGTAATAACTAACTAAGTTTAAATAGAGAAACTCTAATACCCCCATAAGCTTGGGGTAGATAGACTGAACTCCAAACTTAGATAAGTGATAAGAGAAGGGTTTGATGTCCAAGGGCTTGGTGAAGATGTCGACGACTTGTTTTGAAGAAGAAACTGACAGAAGGTGAAAAAGTCCAAGTTGTAGCTTTTCTCTAACAAGTTGACAATCCAAATCTACATCTTTTGTGCGCTCATGAAAGGATGAGTTGTAGGCAATATGGTGTGCAGAAGCATTATCGTAGTAAAGAAGAGAAGGCTTGATAAAGGGAACCTTTAATTCCAGCAGAATGTTGGTTAACCATTGGATCTCACAGACTATTGTCATACCCTGATTTTTAGCCCTAAGACCCCATACCCTTTGCATTATTGCATATCATTAAGATCACAAACTTGGTTGCTTCCTAACCCTCATATCTCTGAGTTTTACCTTGAAGAGATCATCAAGCACCCTCTTGTGTATCTTGTACATTTGTGTCTACATATCTTTATGTATTTTTAACCTTAACCAAAATCCAAAAATATGCCTTGTTTCCTTTTGTTTATTGTCCAAGATAGGTTTTGAATCAAGAGCATCAAGCATGATCCCCTCAACTAGGGTTTTCTTCCTCAAGTCAAAGTGTGATCAACCATTGATTTCCAAAGGATTTCTCTTCAAAGCATGGCCTCTAATCTCAAAGTATATGATCTCAATCATCATTCAACTTTATTTTGATCATGAATATCTCAAGGATTAATAGCTTGTTTCTCAAGAAGCTTCAAAGTTCATGTGTTTATTTCTATTCCTTCTTCATCAATTAACCTCAAGCTATGACCATATTCAATCAAAGTTCAATCAAGCATCCATCATGAGAAGTTCATTTGTGCATTATTGTGTCTTGAAATGCAAAAAGAGCTCAAAAGATTCAAGATTGATCAAGGTGGTTTAACAAAAAAGTCAACATTTTAAGCACAAGTTCAAAACTTCACAACTCCTTCATTTTTCAACATTTTTGGATGCTTCTTTGGGCATATGCCTCTCATTGACATCATCTACAAATTCTCTTTACAAGTTAAGATCCAATTATGTTTAGAAGATCATCAAAAATTTGAAAACATTAGAGGTCACTTTGTGGACTTAATGAAATTTGAGCTAATTTTAAATGCATTTTGCCTAACTTTTAAAGATCATAACTCTCTCAATTTTCAACTCCTGTGAGTGATTCTTTTTTCTACTTGTCATTTGGGTTTCCCTCTACAAGTTTGTTTCAAGGATCAAAGACCAATTATGCTTGGAAAGCATTGAAAAGTTTGAGGATATTATAGGTCATTTTGAATTTAGAATTATTTTGACTTCCAAAATCAGATCATTTTACAAAATTCACATGGTCATAACTTTTTTGCTCAGGTGTCCAAATTAATACCTTTTTGTCACATTATACTATATGTGATTATGTGAGCATTTTGCAAAAAGAATGAGCAATAAAGGCGATGTATACAAGATGACACACAAGCTTAAAGTTGGGTGCATGAAACTACATTTTCTATTTTAGTCAGATTTTTCACTCAATCAAAACTCACTCTAATGATCAAATTACCATGTGTTTTGGACCTAAACATGATTATGGAAGTTCACTCTAATGATCAAATTACCTCTGAATCAAGCAGACAAAATAATATTTAATGATCACTGCAAACATTCTATGTTAATCATCTTCGATCTTGATCCCCTCTACCTTCGATCTTGATCATCTTTCATTCCCTTTCAATGAATATGCCAAAAGCCCCATGACTAAGCCAACAATTGTTGAACCTGAAGGGTTTTGGCCCCCAATCTTTACCACCAATCTCCAACCAAACTGGACAATGATCCACCAATTCTCTTCTTCGAACCCTTTGCACTGAAACCTTCCAATCATCCACCAATTTATAAGACAAGAGAAATCTATCAAGCTTGTGCATAGCAGTTCTGTTGCCGCTGAACCACGTGAATCTCCCTCTCACACAAGGGAGATCAATAAGCTTCATATCCTCCACAAAATGCATAAACTCTATGATGTCCCTGTTGGTTCCACTGTTACCTTTCACTAACCTCTTTTCCTTATACAACATTGTATTGAAGTCACCTCATACACACCACTCCTCCATGGGCGGTTCTACCATACGGCCAGCTTGGACAAATGCCCAGGCTCGGCCCGGCCCAAAATTATTTTAGTATTCATGTTTTTTTTTAAATAAATAAAATTAAAAGAAAAATAAAAAATAGTGGAACCTAGAATTGAAAAAACCTAAAGAAGGAAATGATTATTGAATAACAGTTGTCAATGTTCTCTTTCCTTCTCTGTTCAATCTATCTTCGCCAACTTTAATGTAAAACTCTAACTTGATTATTAAATAGCAGATGTGTGTGTTTTTCTTTCTATATAATACAAATATATTATATGTGTTTGACTTGGTCTGTTAATCTATTTGATATGTTTGTTACAACAAGAAATAAGGATCTAGAAATTGCTAATAATATGTCGGTAAAGAATTAGATAAGCACATATATAATTTTTCTCTTTTTGTACTTTTATTTCACTGGAAAGTTGACAAATGTTCAATGCAAAAAGTTTAATTTGAGCCACCAAACTAGTACAAAATTGAATTGACATATTTACAATTACAAATCCATTAGTGATTATGATAGTTGCTATTTTTCAAATGAAACTTGTAGTAATAAGTCTATATATTATACTTGTTTAATTCCATGTTTGATTCTAATTTATTGATTAGAGTTTAGATTGTTTGATTAACCATGTACTAATTTATTTATTTATTTATTTATTAGAGTTTAGGTTGTTTGATTAACCATGTACAATTACAAATACTAATTTATTTATTAGAGTTTTAAATTTTGTTTTATTTGTTTGAAGAGAATTGTTTATTCTTATTTGTTTTATTTGATTATTATTCTTTTAAATTTTGAAACTACAATTTTGTAATTATTTTATCTTTTGTTCAGAGATGAGAAGATTTTTGGTTGCTAGAGAAAATATTGAGAATATGAATGTTGTGCAACCAGAAGCCGAATTAGAACCACTGTCTAATGGGGTTAATGAGTTTAATCCAAATGGGATTGTGTGTGATCCAGGTCGTAGGAAATAAATTAATGAGTATGCTACGGATATTCAAGACCAAGTGAGAAGGATATATATATTGAAGGGTCCAATGCAACCAGATTTGTCAAGTTTTCCTCGTACTCCATTTGGGAGTATTAAAAGATTATTTAGTAAATCATGGTATAAGAATTATACATGG